CCCTCGCCGAGGCCCACCCAGATCCCGATCACGGACCTCGCGCTCCTCGCTGAAAGGGGCCGTGTCCTTGAGCCCACGGTCTTCACCGTTGGCTGCCAGCGCCTCGTCTCGCCCGACGTCCTCCTCAATGACTTGCAGGAGTGGACCGGTGGCGCTGACCTTCAGTCCGACCACATTGAACTACGCGGCCACGAGCCTGCCTTCCACTTCGCGAAGTCGCCGTACCCCGTGCAATTGCTATACAGCGTGCCCTGCGAAATGCCGCAGGGAAATTCAAGCGCTTCGCCACCAGCGACACCGCCGGGCAGCGCGTCGGCATCTACCTTCACGGCGACAAGCCGACGAAGCAAATCCGAACCGAGACCCAGCGCAAGAAGCTCCAATCGCTGCTCCAACACCAGCATCACAGCTTGCAATGGCGGACCATTCGCAACAAAGGCGAGATCCACAGCAAGGCCTTGCCCGTCATCCGCCTCGGCACCCGCGGCCAGGCTGACCCCGCTGGCCTCGAGTGGAACGAAAAGGCCTTCGAGCTCCAGCAGTTCCACAACATCGACAGCGCGGCCGCCCTCTCCTGCTTCCAAGCTCTCTCTCTCTCTCTCGGACAACGAGTCCGCTACGTGGCGTTCCTAACCACCCGTGTGCGCCATGACTCGCGCCCGAATGCTCGCCGCTTGCCACCTTCGTCAGCTGGAACGCCCGCGGGCTGATGTGCCACAAGCGCTCCCGCCGCCGACGCAAGCAGGCCGCCCTCGCCACGTTTCTTCGGCGCCAGTGCGTCATCCTTCCTCAGGAAGTTCATGGCTCCGAAGCGCTGCTCCGCACATGGGTGGCCACGCAGCCGTGCCCGTAGAAGCTCTTCTTCTCCGAGTGCACACCCGACGAAGGCACCTCGTCCGCGACCATCGGCCGCGCCGCCATCCTCGTTCCGCGGTTCGCGCCAGTGCAGCTCGAGCAGCTCCAGCAGGACCAGCTCTCGATCATCTCGCACAGCGTCCTCGCCCCTGGGCGCACCCAGCTGCTCGCCATCACGAACGCCGCCTCCCGCAGCACCCTTGCCCTGATGAGCGTCCACAACCACGAGTTGGCTGCGCGAGATCGTGGCAGGATCCGCGCCAGTCCCAGGAGACCGCAGTCCACCCCCTCGGGAACTGCGGCGGCGCCGCCGCGGTGCTCCGGCCGCGGCCCGGGGCGGGCGCGGCCGCGGGCCTGTCGCCGCAGCAGGCGCGCCGCTTGGAGGCTGCGCTGCAGGCAGCACCCTAGGCACCATGCAGGAGAGGATGGGTATGGACACCGACCTCTGGGCCTGGGCCCCCCTGAAAGCTTGGCTCGGCTTTCCTGTCCTCCGTCCTCCTCTGCTTCCGCCCCGGGGCCTGGGCCCCGTCCCCCGCCACCCCCCCTGGCCCCTGGTCCCGTGGCCTGGCCGGCGTTCGCCTCTCGGGCGGGCCCACCTGGGCCCCGGTCCGGCCCTCGGCCCCTGGCCCTGGCCCCGGGTCCCCGCCGGGCCGTGCCCTTCCCTCTCCGGGCCGAGTACCCACCGGCAGCGACCCAGCCCAAAGCGGGGCTGCCGGGGGGTCATGCCCGCGCGGCGCTCCACCAGCGACCTCCTGGGGGGGCCGCCGGGCGACCCCTTCCCCGGGGCTAAGTGCGGAGCCCCCCGCTTCGGCGCCGCGGGCTCCAGCCGAACTGCCCTCGGCCGCGGGGAAGAGCAGCATGCGGGCACAGCTCGCCGGCCTATGAGGGCCCGTGCCGCGCGGCCCGGCCGGGCGCGCGCCCCAACCCGGGGGCGGCGCCGAGCGGAGTGGAAGGAAGGAGGGAAGGAAGGAAGGAAGGAAGGAAGGAAGGAAGGAGGGAAGGAAGGAGGAGGAGGGGGAGGAGGACAAGCTAGGCGCGCTAGCGTCACATCTGACGTCCTACCCCTCCTTCCCATCCTTTACCACGGCGTAGATCTCCTATCTGTTCGCACAGTCGGATGTCGAGCAGGGCAGTGATCCCAAGAGGGAACGCGATGGATGAAAAGCATGGGTGGAAAAGCATGGCCGAGCAAGGACCGAAAACAGGAAGAAAAGGCCAGTGTTGCAACACGATTCGGGGGATCAGGCCAGGACCGACGGAAATGAGACCGGCGCTGCATCGAGAGCAAGATTCAAAATGCCTGGAGCGCCGGAACGAGGCCAGGACCGAAAACGGGAATGAGGCCACCGTTGCAGCGGGAGCACGATTCAGAAGGACCGAAGCATTGGAACGAGGCCAGCACTACAGCGACAGCGCTATTTGGAAGGACCGAACACGCCAGCATTGCTGCGGGAACACGATTTGGAACAACCGGAGGCGCGGGAACGAGGCCAACGCTGCAGCGGGAGCACGATTTTGAATGACGAAAGCGCAGAAATGAGGGCGGCGCTGAGCTGGGGCACAATTTTGGAAGAACTGGAAACGACCAGATTGAAAGAAAACAAATAGAAAAAAACAAGTCATGAAATCTTGTGTGTAAAAAGCAATATGCGGAGAGGACGGGGCATTGTATGGACAGGATGACGGGAGAGAGAAGAGTAGTTTTCATATTTGTGCGTTTGTGGAGGAGGAGGAGGAGCAGCAGCAGCAGCAGGAGGAAGAGGAGCAGGAGCAGGAGCAGGAGGGAGAAGGAGGAGGAGGAGGAAAGGAGGGAAGAGCAGGAAGGGGAGGCCCGCCCCGGCGCGGCGCCTTCTTCTCATTGGCCAGTGTTCGAGGGGGCCCGCGCGAGCGGCCCACCTTGTCGCCCTCGCCCCGAGCTCCGTGCGCATTTCGCTCGGACGCGGCGCTCCCACGCGGGCGCTGCGCACGGTTCGTTCGCCGAGCCGCACGAAAACGACAGCGGCAGCGGGGCCGCGCGAGAGCGGGCGAACTGCCGACCTCGCCCGAGTGCCGCGCGGGTTGCGAGTGGAAGTGGCAGCGCTACGTCAGCACGGCGCATGCTTCGTCGCCGCTGCGCTCATTGGAAGTCGTGCCGTTCCCGCCCCCGCGTGGCCCGTGCAGCCTTCCCATCTCCAGGTCGTCGGAAGCGGGGCCGCGCGCGAGCGCCTTCAGTTGGTTGGGCAGGAACGCGCTCCAATCCAAGTACCAGGTTATTTCAGACTCGATCACCATGCTATGGAAAAACCGGTGGGGCCCTCTGATTCGCTCGACCTGGGCTGACTGCCTGCTCCGACTCCGACCTCCAATCTCCTCACCTCCTCCTCCTCCTCCTCCTCCTTCCCTCATCCTCGCCTCCTCCTCCTCCTCCTCCCTCCCCCCTCCTCCTCCTCCTCCCCCTCCCCTCCTCCTCCTCCTCCTCCTCCTCCTCCTCCTCCTCCTCCTCCCCCTCCTCCCTCCCTTCCTCCTCCTCCTCCTCCTCCTCCTCCTCCTCCTCCTCCTCCTCCTCCTCCTCCTCCTCCTCCTCCTCCTCCTCCTCCTCCTCCTCCCTTTCCCCTTCCTCGCCGTCGGACAGGGCCCTCGCGGAGGTCGGCGACCGCATGTTCACCGACGCCGTCTTCGTCCGCAACGAGCGCGTGGCGCGCGAGCTCGGCGCCGGCTGGGCGGCCGCGCTGATGGACCGCTGCGAGCGGGGCCTCGCCCCGCCGGCCCTGTCCCGGCGCGGCCAGCGGCCCTGTGGGTCAGCCGGGGGCCCCCAAAAGGGGTGGCGACCACACCGTGTGGTGAGTCGGTGGTGATTCGGGGTCACCGCACTGCTTTGGGACTCGTGTCGTTCTCCGAGGACGTCTCGGGCGACGGGGGCATCCGAGGTCCCAAGACCGTGCGTTGACGGACTGCGGTGAGGTCTTGGGGGTGTTCGAGGTCACCGCACGGTCTGTCACTGCACCGTTTCGGGACTCCAAAGTCAGGGGGGGCGACGGCGGCAAGCCACAGCTGGATCCTTCCCCACCTGGGGTGAAGTCGGGCATGTCCTTCTACAGGAGGAGTGTCCAAAAATAGTCAGGAAATCGTCTGGGGACGATTTGTCGATTATTTTTGACCAATGTTGAAAATGCTTTGACTATTTTTCACATTTCCTCCAAGATCTGCCTGTAGGGGGACATGCCCGACCTGAACCTGGGAGGGCGCCTGCGCGCGCGAGCGACCCCTCACCGGAGTGGCCCTGCCCGCCTTTCGGGGGGCGCAGGAGGGGCGGGCCACCGGAAAGCACGGGGGCCGCTGCCGTCGCACCGTGCGCAGCGATCGGCGAGCCGTGCACCGAAGGCCACTCTTGCGTGAGGCCACTGCCGCGCTCAGCTGAGGAGGGCCCATCGGCATCGACACCCCTCGAGAGAGAGAGAGAGAGAGAGATCTCTAGGCCTCCCAGGTGGGCTCGGAGTAGATGGGGTCAGAGGATCCCGCCGCATCGCCGATGCATCGGCGACGCGGCCCGTTGCGGAGCCCGATTTTCTCCACGCCAGCGTCGCCGATACACCACCGACGTCGGCGATGCATCGGAGACACACCGCCGATGCATCGCCGATGCACTGGCCATGCGGCGCGATCCTCCGACCCCATCTGCTCGGACCCCATCTAGGAGGCCTCTAGGACAGATCGTCGACGTGGATGATGATGTTCCAACCTACTTTAGCCTTGATCCCCAGAAAGACGTTCGAGCACCAAGACAGTACCGAAACTTGAAGGTTTTCACGTGTCGGGCCCAAGGAGGCGGTACTCGTTCGACACTGTTTCGATACGTTTCTGGGTGCTCGACATTATTGATGGGGTGTGGTCCTCGAGTACGATGGGAGCATCATAAGCCTAGGAGGCATCTAAGAGAGATCGTCGACATGGGGAGTTCCCTGGAGGGCGGTGAGGACCACAGCTCCCCCTGCCTGTCGCGGCGGGGCCTGGGGCCGTCCGGCGGGCAGGCAGGAGGGGACCGGCGCGAGGCGCTAGGGAAGCGGCCTCCCGAGAGAAGGCTGGGGTCCTCGCGGAGGGGCACCCCTGCCTTCTAAGAGACATTCTCGGAAGCCCTTGGGCCCTGGGCCCGTCTACTAAGAGTACGTCGGGCATATCCCTCCACAGGAGGAATCTTCAAAAAAAGTCCACAACAACTGATATGGGCACGATGTCTTGACTATTTTGGGCTATTTTTTAATTTTCCCTCTGAAATCCGCCTGTAGGAGGGCATGCCCGACCTGATGCTGAGAAGCCCCTGCCCTCGTAGAAGGCAGCCCCGCTCGCCCCACCGCCATGGCCTGCCGCCCATCGGCGACAAAGCCGGCGACGACGAGGGCGACGACGTCAGCAGGGCATCTCGTTCGACCTCTTTGGGGCGTCCTGGAGCGCCCTTGCCACCATGGATGGATCCGCCTCGAAGTCCTGGTCGGCCCCACGGGCCATCGGCCAGCGCCAGGGCGAGTCGCTCCCAGGGAAGTCGCCACCATCGAGGGACGAGGAGGAGGGAGGACCGAAGATCGATGATTTTGTTTTGGGGGATTTATTTTGATGTTTCCTTTACGTTGTAAGATATGTGTTTGATATGTGTTGGATGTGTTTTTCGTTTTGGGGATTTGTTTTGCGTTTTGAGGCTCCTGAGCGTTTGGGGATTTTTGTTGCGCGGCTCTAGCTGGGGCCACGGGTAGTCCTGGGGGGGGGTCCGCCTCCCCCGCTTCCACAGGAGGACGTGGCAACCCTCCTTCGGCACTGCATATATCTGTGTATAAATACATTCACACATGTAAGAGACAGAGACAGAGAGAAGAGAGAGAGAGAGAGAGAGAAAAAAAAACAAAAAAGAGAGAGAGAGAGAGATGGACGGCGAAACAAAAAATAATCTCGATGTTTTTCGCTCGTAGGGGGCGTCTTGGAGGGCCCTCGCCGCTGCGGCCGGGCCAGCCCTCAGGGGGCCTTGGTCGGCTCTCCGGACGCCCTGGAGGCACACGAGGGCGGCCGACTGCTTCCCGAGCCCGGCCCCCCCCCCCCCCGGGAAGCCACGCGGCCGTTTTCGCCCTGGGGGGCCTCAAGCTCAGGAGCGAAACAGGAGCGTACGGGCGTGCACGTACATAGTGATCGTATTCTTATTCATTGCTTTGCCGATCGGCGCGGGGCCACAATTACACACTATGAATACTACTCTCCTCTCTCCCCTGATGACGTCCGGGAGATATCCGACCTCCCTCCGCGTACTGTTTTCTTTCGTAGGATTCCCGAGAACTGGGTTTTCGCTTGGGCTTCTGTGCAAAATGTTGGTCCCGCTTAAGCGCTAGTCTCATTTTCGGTCTTCCGCTCGTTCCGAATCGTGCTCCCGCTGCAGCGCTGGCTACATTATTTCCAGTGCCATGCCACGGCATGGTTTTCGGCCCTTCCAAATAGGCCCAAAAATGTAGAAAATGCCCCCCCGAAAAACCATCGGAAGTGATCATACATTCGGTGTCGATCCGTTGATCTTTTAGGCCGCAGACGCCCCCCCCCCACTTTGGGACGTCGCCATGCCATGCTATGTCATGCTAAGCGTTGAACTTCAACACATTGCCATGCCACGTAATGCTATGCCATGCTACGACATCCGACTACGCGAATAGAGAGGAGTCGCCACTCCACGCTACGTCATGTTACGCGCTGATCTTCAACACCATGCTATGCCATGTAATGCTATGCAATGCTACGACATCCGACTGTGCGAATTGATATGAGATCTACGCCATGGTAAGGGATGGGAGGGAGGGGAAGGACATCAGATATGACGCGAGCGCACCTAGCTTGTCGCACCCCCTCCCCCTGCTCCCCCCCCAATGGAGTAGATAGTGGCTGTTTGGGGCGCCAGGTTCGAGCAGGTGGAGTCCCCCACAGGACGCAGTGTTGCGAACAGTCGCGTTAAGCAGAGGTCTGGAGCCAGAACCCCCCCTCCCACCCTCCTTCCGCCCAATGTCGAAACGTCGAATGAGAGAAGTCCACGTTGGTTTCGAAAGCACATGTTTTGCGATCGTTCGTAACGCGAGGCTGGCCTTGCGGACTGGGTGGCCGCTCCCTACAAGCAGCGACCCGCGACGAAAAGCAGGTCCTGTCTTGGGGACGGCGTCCAGGGCTCCCAGGCCCGCCTCGTAAGAGATCACGCGGGTGATTGCCGCCGAGCGCCACGAAAGAATCACGACCGAACTGACTTCCTCGTCTTGGGACCCGAAGCCCTCACGGATCAATCCGGCTCAAAATTTCCGCCCAAAGCGAGGGTATAGGGCTGGTCGTGTGGTATTTTCCATGTCGCCGTCACTCTTTCACAACATCAGACGTCGCGGAGCGCAAAGTCCAACCTAGTGGTGAGGATGCGGTACTTCATTCAGGCCGCCCTTGTATCCGTGTCTGTCCTTTGGTTTGGGGCTTGCCGCCGCCGCAATCGTTCCAGTAGCCTGGACGTCCAAAGGTCTTGCAGCGCTTCCTTGCGTCGCTGCTCCTGCGCTCCCGGCCGCAATCGCAAGGACAATCCTCCCTCCCCCCGGTTGCTTGGCCGGATAGAACCTCAGAAGGAGGTCCGCATTGGCGGCTGGCAGCAATGCGGATCTGCTTCTACTGCGAGGAGGAGGAGGAGGAGGACGAGGAGGACCAGGAGGAGGACTGGGAGGAGGAGGAGGACGAGGAGGACGAGGAGGGGGGAGGAGAACGACAAGGAGGAGGAGGAGGACCTCCCGCAGATTCGGGTCCAGCTGAAGGAGCTCCGCACTGGCGGCTGGCCGCCTCGCGGGTGCCGCCTTTTGCGGACCTCCTTCAGCTGGTTGACCTCCTCCTCCTCCTCCTCCTCCTCCTCCTCCTCCTCCCCCTCCTCCTCCTCCTCCTCTTCCTCATCCTCCTCCTCTACAATTACTCAATATGAATACTACTCTCCCTCTTCCCCTGATGACGGTTGAAAGTGTCCGACCCCCCCCCGCGTACTGTTTTTCACACGCAGGTTTCCCTGGAGTTGGGTTTTCGCTTGCATTTGTTTCAAAATGCTGCTCTCGCTGAGGCGCCGGCCTCATTTTCGGGCCCCGCTCGTTCCGAATCGTGCTCCCGCTGCAGCGCTGGCCTCATTTCCGTGCTTCCGCTCGTTCCGAATCGTGCTCCCGCTGCAGCGCTGGCCTCATTTCCGCGCTTCCGCTCGTTCCGAATCGTGCTCCCGCTGCAGCGCTGGCGTCATTCCCCGTGCCATGCAACGGCATGCAATTGCAATGCTAGGTTGATAAGTTACTACGCTTTGCGCGTGTGCTCTTCTAGCCATGCCATGCCGTGCTCTACAATGCATAGGTACCCTCGGGATCATTGCCTGCTAGGACATCCGACTGTGCGAGTAAGAGAGGGGATCTGCGCCATGGTAAGGGATGGGTGGGTGGGGTAGGATGTCAGATATGACGCGAGCGCACCTAGCCTGTCCTCCTCCCCCTCCCGCTCCTCCTCCTCCTTCAGCTGGTTGACGCTCCGCCTCCGCGCATACGGCAGGCTTTTGCGCCGCGCGGACGCGGCGAAGAAACCCCAGCGCGGGCGTTCCAGGCCGAGCGCGGCCAGTGGCCCAGGATCGGCCGACGTCGAGCCTCGAGGCCTCGAGGATGGAGGACCGAGGATCGAGGCCTCGAGGATGGAGGATCGAGGGCCTCGAGGCCTCGAGGATCCAAGGCTCGAGGCTCGAGGAGCGGCGCCTCGATGCTCGGCCCAGTGGCGCTGTCGGAGAGCCGCGATCGCTCACGGTGGAGCCGGGCCTCCCAGATGGGGTCGGACCGGACAGGGGAGGCCCATGCCAAGAAGCACCCTGCCTGCCTCCAGAGGGTGCCCCGGATGTCTCGAGTCTCGGTGGTCTCCCCATGGAGAACGTGACGCTCCCACACCAAAAACCGATGGGCGTCCTGGGGTCTCAGGGTTGGGTTTCTTGTGGAAGGTTTCGTGCGGATTGGCCTCCACTGCATGGGGTCGGAGGGTCGCGCCGCATCGCCATCAGGTCGGCGATGCGGCTCGATGCGGAGCCCGATGCTCTCCGTGCCGACGTCGCCGATGCGTCCCCGACGTCGCCGATGCATTTGCGATGCGCGGCGATCCTCCGACCCCGTCTACTCGGACCCCATCCAGGAGGCCTCTGTTTGAACGACCCACCCTGCGTAAGAAACTAACGTCCACGACATCGCGACGCGAGCCAGCCGTGCGGCCAACACTGATGGTCAGGATGAGCGACGTCCCAGGGGCACCCTTGCGTTCTCGCCTCTTCGGTCCTCTGCGGCCCATCCTCGACCACTCTCGATGGCCAGCCCCGCTCGAGAAGCCTCGGCATGGGGTTTCCAGGGCACCTGCGCCCCTATCGCGCCTCCTTGCTGTCGGTTTTGACTGTGCGCTGCGACACCCTGCGCTGCCAGTTTCCCCCGCAGGGGCCGCGCCCCGACGCTGGAGGGCCTCGCCGTGCTGTGGTGCGACGCCGACCCCGCCGTGACCGAGTCCGCGGGGCCCCTGCGGGCCGCCGGCATGTCGGTGCGCACCTTTCGGGAGCCGGAGGACTCGGCTGGGCGCAAGAGCTCAAAGGAGGGCAAGGCACCCAGACCGCCACCACTGCCTCGTGTTCGCCTGTTTCGGGGGCGTCCTGGGAGGCCCTCGTCGCCACCGCTGGATTCGCCTCGAGATCCTGGTCAGAAGGCAGCCTGGGAGAGGTCCGTGGAGTAGCGGTTTCGGTAATTACCTGTTGGCTTCTCCAAGGGTGACTTGTCGCGGGAGTGACCTTTGGTGCGGGCCCACGACGGGGCTGACGTGACGCGGTCGGCGCAAGCGCGGGTCAGCCGATCCTCTCTGGCTGGCCCCAGGTTTGGGGGCCACGTGGGGCCGCCGATTCCCCCTCTCCGCCCTCCGCCAGCCCGGGCTTGGAAGCCGCTGAGCGGCCGGCCGGGCTTCGCGACAGGGCCCTGGCCGACCCGGGCTTGTGTGGACCCGAGCGGGTGCGTCCCCGACCGCAGGGGTCCCGCCTGCATCGGCGTGTACGCTCGGACTTGGCTCCCCCGCGGCCCCCAAAGCCGCACCTCTCCCAGGTTGCCTCTTGCCCAGGGCCACCCCTGCGCGCAGCCGAGCTAGGACGCCCTCGAGTTCTTCCGTGGCGCGCCCGCGGGCGCGGTGGGGGCCGTCCTCACTTCCATGATGCGCGGCGGCGGCCGCGAGGCTCGGGGAGCGATGACCGGGCTCGGCCTCGTCGCCGCCTGCGCCGAGTGCGCCCGGGCGCGCGGCGAGCCGAGGCCGGTGCTCGGGGTCGTGTCGATGTCGGCCGACCGGGAGGCGTGCCTGGCGGCTGGCGCGGACTTCGTCGTGTACGGCGATCGCGCGAGGGCGCAGCGGCGGCTGCTGTCGGAGCTGAGGGAGCGGCGTGCCCGCACGGGCCCGGGGGAAGCACAGCAGCGGCCGTGCGCCCCGTTGTTGTCGCGCGGAAGCGATCTTGTCCAGCTTGCCACCGAGGGTCCTATTATACCTGAGCGTGCTGTCGACAAGGGCAGTCGGAGCCCAGGTCGCTCTCGGCTCTCGGACTGAAACCCACAGGAATTGGCTAGGGCAAGCTGCATATAGGCGTGTGTGCATGTTTGTGCAAACACACACACATACATGCATACATGCATGTACGCATGCAAGCAAACAGGCAAACATACAGACATGCATACATACATGCATACATACATAGTTATATGCACACATACATACATACATACATACATACATACATACATGCATGCATGCATGCATGCATGCATGCATGCATGCAGGCAAATATATATATATATATATATATATACACATACATATAAACATACATACCCATATGCATGCATACATACATACATACATGCATGCATGTATGTATGCATGCATGCACACATACATACATACATACATACATACATACATACATACATGCATACATACATACATACATACATACATTAATACATGTACACATATATACATACATACACATATGTACGGGCATGCATGCAGACATACATACACACATGCGTACGTATATACACACAGACATGCAGACATAAAGACATACATACTTACGGACAGGGCGACGTACATACATACACACCTATAAACATACATACCTGCACGCATGCAGTCCAACCTGCGTACATGCATGCATATTCACATACATACACACAACATACGTACACCCATACATGCACACATACATACATGCATGCATGCATACATGCATGCATACATGCATACATGCATGCATACGTACACATCTACATACATGCATGCATGCGTACATACGTACATACAGATAGGCGTGCATACATACATCCGTACGTGCACACAGACGTACATGCATGCATGCGTACATACACACGTACATACATACAAGCACAGACGTACATACAGACAGACATACAGACATACACATATATACAGACATACCTATAGACATACAGACATACATACAGACAGACAGACAGACATACCTACAGACATAACATGCATGCCGACATGCCGACCTACCTACTTACATACTTGGATGCATGCACACATACATGATACATACACGCATACATACGCAAACGAAAACACACACATACATACATACATATAGACATACACGTTTACACATCACATGCATCCATACATACACACATGCATGCATGCATGTATGCATGCGTACATGTATGCACACATGCAGAAATGCACACATGCATAAATGCATACACACACATGCATGTATGTATAAGTTCATACATACGTCATGCACGCATGCATGCATGCATACAGGCATACATAAAAAGCAATCATAGTTCCATTGATTAGTTCATTCATACATACATACGTCCATGTATACATACATACCTAAAAGAATCAGTTAATGATCCATATATATATATATAGCTTGAGAGAGAGAGAGAGAGAGTAGGCCCCCAGGGGGAGGCGGGGGGGGGGGGGGGGGGGGCAAAATCGGTACCTCGGGTTGGCATGGTGGGCCCGGCGGGCTTCTGCGCTCGAGAAGGGCCTCCAGGGGGCCCAGAGGGGCATCAAAAGAATCCCTCACGGGGGCCAGAAAGCACGACAGCGCTCCCAGCACGCCGACCTCTGCATCGAAACGGCTCACGTGGCCTCAACGACGCCCAAAGAGAGCTTCCAGCTGATCCCTGGGAGAGGCCCCCTAGGGTTTTTCAAGGATCTTCGTGTGGTCGCCTGCTGGGTTGCCCGACGCCCGGAAACGGCACAAGACCCGCCCAAGAGGACCCTAGGACACCCGAAGAGGGCGCGAAGATTTCCCAAGAGGCGCCCAAAATCGCCCCAGAGGGCTCTGGGCGGCCCTCCGAATAAGCCCGGACACGTTACAAGGGCACTAAACGAGGCCCACAGGGCCCCAAGACGGCCCCAGCACGCCCATCATTGCTCCGATGCAGGCTCAGGCGGCTTCCGAGGCGCACCAAGATGGCTTTAAGCTGATCCCTAAGAGAGGCTCCAGGGGCGAAAGTCATTGATTACCCTATGGTTTTTCAAGGATTTTGTATGGTCGCCTGCTCCGCTGCCCGACACCCGGAGACGGCAGAAAAGGCGCCCAGGAGGGCCCCAAGACACCCGAAGAGGGCGCCAAGACGGCCCAACAGAGGGCTCCGGCCGGAGCCCCGAATGAGCTCGGACACGCCACAAGGACCAATGAGGCCCTCAGGGCCCCAAGACGGCCCCAGCACGCCTATCATTGCTCCGATGCGGGCTCAGGGAGCCTCCGAGGAGCGCCAGGAGGGCTTCGAGCCCATCCCCGAGACAGGCTCCAGGGGCGAGAATCGCTCATTTCCCCAAGGACCGACCACAACGATGTTTAGCTTGGTTTGGGCCCTTGTTTTGTTGTTCGTTTCGTTATTCGTTGTTGTTTCGTTTCGTTGTTCGCTGTTGCTTTAAACGTCCCGTTTCGTCGTGCTTCGGTTTACACGTTCGTTTCAAACGTTGGGCCTCGTTTCGTTGTTCGTTGTAAACGCCAGTTCGTTTTCGACATCGTTGTTGTCGGTCCCTGCAGTTCCCGCGTGCGGTTCCAAGGATTTTCGTGTGGTCGCTTGCGCCGCTGCCCGACGCGCGGAGGCGGCACAAGAGGAGCCCAGCAGGGCTCCAAGACACCCCGAGCGGGCGCTTCAAGACAGCCCACGAGGCGCGCCGGATCACCCAAGTGGGCTCGGGCCTGTCCCTCTAGAGGGGGAATATTCAAAAATAGTCCAAAAATAGTCGGGGGACGATTGTTTGACCATTTTTGAGTATTGGTATTTTTCATTTATCGGCCAAGATCCGCCTGTGGGGGGACATGCCCGACCTAAAGCTCAGCTTAGGCAGGCCACAAAAATGGTCACGGAGGCCCACGGGGCTCCAGAATTGCCCCAGCGCGCCCACCACCTCTCCAGTGCGGCCAACGGGGCATCCAGGGCGGCCCAAGAGGATTCGAAACTGCTTTCCGAAACATCCCCAATAGGTAAAGATCATGGATGTCCCTTGGATGTTTCATTGATTCTCCAGTGGCCGCCTGCTCCGCTTCCCGACGCTGGGAGACGGCACACGAAGCGTGCACGATGGCCCCATCGCGCCCCAAGGCGGCGCAAAACCGGCCCAAGAGCGCCTACGAGCGCTGCAGGTGGCTCTCCAAATGAGCCTGGGCAAGCCAAGAGAGCCGTAAAGAAGGCCCGCAGGGTTCCAAAACGGCCCTTGGACGCCCACCAAAGGCTCACAGAAGCCTCCGCGAGGGCTCCCACACGGGCGCGCTTTCAGGTTCCCGGGGAGCCTTCCGGGAACCTTAGAGCGCGCCCGTCATCGGAGTAGGAGGTTCTCCAGCATCTTCTTGTGTTGCTCTGGAGGGCCTTCCGCGAAATATATATATATATATATATACAGACAGACAGACAGACAGACAGACAGACAGACAGACGGGACAGACAGACAGACAGACCAGACAGACAGAACAGACAGACAGACAGACAGGGACAGGACAGACCCTGCGCGTCTACCGTGTATGGAAAAATTGGCCGCCCAGTGGCCAAGTGCCCGAACTTCCAGCCTGGCTCCACCCACCTGGGGCCTCGGGGGGCCGCTCCCCGGCCCTCAAGACAGCCCTTGGGGCGCTCCAAGAGCGCCCTGCGACGGCTTTCCAGGCTGCCAAGAGGCTGCCAAGAGCACCCAAAAAAGCGCCCCCCGTACGCCATTTGGCTCAAGCCAGCCGGGCTCGAGCCGCATGGGGCCGACCCCAGGGCCGCCGAGCCAGCCCACTTCCTCCTCTGGGCCGCGGGAGGGCGAGGTCTGCCCCCTGGCCTCCGCCACAGCGCGAGCAGGCGGCGGCTGCGATGCCGGCCCGGGGGCCCACGGGCGCGGCTGCCGGGGAGAAGCCTCTGCCGGACCTGACGGACCGCATCGAGGCCATGGGGCTCCGGGACGAGTACGCGGACGGAGTTCTCGGCGCGCTACCTCGCCTGGCGGACCGGCAAGTCCGCGGGAGCGCGGGGGGAGCCCGGCAGTGCGCGGCCGCGGGAGCCCGGCGCTGGCACCCCCCCGCTGGCGATACGGCCCGCAGTCTCGGACACCTCGTACCAGAGCTTGGCCTCGCCGGTCGGGCAGCACGATTTTGCCTTTTTTTCTTTTCTTTTTTTTTTTTTTTTTAGATTTTTTTTTTTTTTTTTTTTTTTTTTTTTTTTGTTTTTTTTTTTTTTTTTTTTTTTTTTTTTTTTTTTTTTTTTTTTTTTTTTGTTTTTTTTTTTTACGTTGTTTTTTTTTTTTTTCTTTTCGTTTTTTTTTCTTTTTTTTTTTTGCTTTTTTTTTTTTTTTTTTTCTTTTTTTTTTTTTTTTTTTTTTTTTTTTTTTTTTTTTTTTTTTTTTGTTTTGTCTGTTCTGTTTTTTTTCTTTTCTTTTTTTTTTTTTTTTATTTTTTTTTTGTTCTTTTTTTATTTTTTTTTTTTTTTTGTTTTTTTTTTTTTCTTCTTTTTCTTTTTTTCTGTTAATTTTTTTTTTTTTTTTTCTTTCTTTGTTTTTTTTCTTTTTTTTTTTTTTTTTTTTTTTTTTCTTTTTTTTTTTTCTCGTTTTTTTTTTTTTTTTTTTTTTTTTTTTTTTTTATTTCTTTTTTTTTTTTTTTTCTGGTACCCGAGCGTGGGGGAGTGGCGGTGGCGTCGAACGATCTCGTTCTGGATCGGCCTGACGTTCTTCGAGGGGTCCGTGTTCTTTGCCGTCAGCTCGTTCTTGGGCTGCGCTTCCTCGAGCACACTGAACACGACGGCGTTGACAACTGGAGGCTACATTTGGGGAAAGGCCCATTTCCTCATCTGCACCTACTTGATGGTAGTCAGCACGGTCAACATGGATCCTGTGGGAGGCCACAAGAAGTGCGACAATAATGGGGACCAGCAGAGCGGGGACAGCGACAGCTCGTCGTCAGAGGATGAAACAGCTGTAGCGATCCCTGGCGAGATGGCAGCGCCTCGCTTCATGACCAATCCGTTCCGGTACAGGACAGCTGTGGACAGACTGAACGCACTAGGTGCCGGACCATGGCCGTACGTTGCGTCGTTGATTTCTTTCA